TTAAATAATTATATGCGATGCAGTTCTAATACAGTATATGCGCTTTAATTATTTACAAGCGTGTAGGTTAAGTACATGCGTCACACAGAGGTTCACAGTAGTTCCACAGGAACTGTTATCATTTACATGTGTTGAGCATCTCAAACTCCATCTCTGCATGTTGTTGTGAGTTTGGGTTTATTATAACGTTCATCTGGGAATGCAACATGCACCATTTCATCAGATTTGTAAGGTAAATCATTTATAAATCTAGGCAAACACAGGAGAATAATACATCATTATCTCACAGTTTCAAAATAAAAGCTCAAACCCTCACTCTGAGTTTACACGTTTTGATGTCCACATATTCTTTTAATTACAGTGGCTATAGCATTTCTGTCCTAAAGAAATTGCCAAATATTAAAGGTTAAGTGGACATTTGAATTAAATGGTGCTTGGTTAATATTAAACAAGTATTAGATCGCACAGCAATGTGTAAAAATAATCGTCAGGCCGTTGGCCCCCCTGCAGGCCTTTGTTGTAATGCGTCATGTACATTAGCTCTATAGTTTATAATACATTATGTATTTTAACAGTTTTGTTCAATGAAACCATATGATTCCTTGCTTTTGATACTTTATTTGAACTAATTATTATTGCCTCATTGCTATTATATATGTATTTTAAGTAATTTTAAAGGCTATTGTTCACTTACATCTATTTTTATTACCACAAAACAAAAATAATTATAATTATAGGGCCCTATGAAATCCGTTTTATTTCCAAATTAATTTTTTTCCTTTTTCATTTTCATTCTACTCAATTTTAATGGTTAAATTGAATTTTATTAATCAAAAAGCCTGTCTAATTAATTGAGTTTTACAGGTCCATTATTTTCTGGATTCCATTTAGTGGTTCCATTCAATTTTAATAATCAAATGCATCTCCAATTAATTGATTTTTTTTTTTAAGGGAAAAAAAGTGTTTTTTTTTTTTTTTCAGAAATACTGCACATTTACATTTTTCTCCTAAATAAATTCTGGTAAATAATATTTCTGGTAAATACTCCTTTAAAAAGT